AGAGAGAGAGAGAGAGAGAGAGAGAGAGAGAGAGAGAGAGTGAGCGGGGAGAAGACAGGGGAACGAAAAGGGAGGAGAAGGAGTGAAAGCGAGATAACGGGTGAGAGGGAGAAGAAAGAGTGGAACAAAAGGCGAAAGGGGGATGGCGAGAAAGAGGAGAGTGATGCGGCGGTCGCGCGAGCAGGGCAAGGGGAGAAGGAGGAGGGGGAGGATGTTAGGAGGAGGGCTGCGGGCGAATGACGTTGATGAAATGCTTCTCAGCGGCGAACATGTAACGCGACCTCGGCGGATCGAGATAAACGCATTCGCGAGTCGGATTCCTGTATCATCCCCCTTCCCCCTATTATCTCTCCCTCTCCTTACTCCCTCCGCTGTTCTCGTCCCGACCTCCTCCACCTTCTCCTCCATCTCGTTCCGATAGTACCGTACTCGCACGACGGCTCTTCCTTTAATCTGTTGGAGCTTTATCTCATTGACGAGATAGTTGGCTCGCCGAGCTATCCGAATCCACATATATATATGTATATGTATGTATATATATATATATATCCACATATATATATGTATGTATGAATACATATATATATATATGTATATATATATATATATATATATGTATATATATATATATATATATATATATACACACACACACATGTATACGGGTTAGCGTGCTGGCGCGCCTACGATCGTTTTAATCAGTGGTTCGAATCGAGTCGATTGAAATCGCCGCGATTGAAGCCGCCGTGCCGCGGCGTTCCGTTCTGTTCCGTTTCGTTCCGCAAAACTGAAATCGATATCGGACGTTCGCGAATGGTGTTCGCCCACCGCAAAGCTCGTGGCGGAATTTCCCGCGGGTGACGTGCGAAGTAATGGGCGCGAGCACACGGCGCGCGCTCGCCGAAATCAAAAGTCACCGGGAAGAAAAATCGACGACCCAAATCCGTCGTTACGCGGGAAATGCGCGGAGCCGGGCAGGAGAGGACGTGTAGCGTATTGTGCTTTCATTGCGTTTGATTATCCCCCGGTTCGCTTGCGGACGACAGGAAAGGGAGAGGGAAAGAGGGGGGAGAGAGAGAGAGAGAAAAGACATGTTCGTTCGGTCGGGTGGAGACCCGACGCGACTTGGAATTCCGAATTCGACGGCGACGGTGGCGGCGACGACGACGACGAGTCGATAAGAAGCGTATATGCGGTGGGTGGTAACACCGCTGATCCCACGGCGTTATACTATACGCATACTAAGGCGTTCATTTTTATTTATAAGCCACAGCGTAACACACGCGGCGAGCCTACGTAATATCGTGATCCCAGCTAAGACGGCGATGGCTTGCCGCGACGTTTAAAAGCACACGGAAATACAAGAGGAGAGCAAACGAGAGACAGAGAGAGAGAATAAAAAAGAAACAAAAGAGAGATATGAGAGAGAAAGAGGAAGGATGAGAGAGGGAAGAGGTAGGACGCGGAGGAAGTGCAGAGAAGCGAGGACTTTCGAAGAAAGATTAAGCGACTCGATGTAAAGGGAAGCGGCGCAGTAGCGGGTGTAGCTTCCGCGTGTTCCGGAGCTTATCGCCGCCGAAACTTCTATCCGGCCGAGTTCGTTCTCTCTCCTCCTGAGATTTGCTTAATGAGGAAGAGTGAATAGAGCGCCGGAGTGCGCGGTTGTGTGCGCGACGTTACTAAAAGTAGCAACGAGTTCTGGCCGCATCTAACCGTCGGGCGAACACATTCTCGAGGAATCTACGACTACTACTACTACTACTACTACTACTACTACTACTACTACTACTACTTTCTCTCTCTCTCTCTCCAACTTCCTAGCAGCCTTCTGCGAGCGAACCACTCCGGTCACTCGCGATTTTTCGCTCCCTCGCGGTACAACCATCCCCCTCGGGCGACCGTCGCGCAATGCCGGCGTTTTCTTTTTCCCGCCCCCGATATTGCTCGCAACGAACGGTTGAGGCCGCGCGAGTTTACCCGTACGCTGATAACGGCCCATAGCCTCCGAGGATTTCGCGCAGGTTTACTCGTCGAATTGCCGGACAGTGCGCGTCTCGTGCACTTTTACGCGAGCGTGTGAGCGTCCACACACACACACACACACACAGAAAGATAGGCACGCGCATACAATGTTCTCTCTTGTCCCTTCTTCCTCTTTTTATTTTTTTCCCAGAGTTTCACCGAACGGCTAAGTTTGCTCGGGAAAATCGCAGCTATGCTACGGTGTTGACGTTCTTATCGCGCCCGGATGTTTCCTCCGGGTTCACCGAGATGTAGGCCAACCACCGGCGCGGGATGCCGTCGTCTCCGCGTAATAAAGATATGACTTGTTTACATTCGGAGATATACATGCGCGGCAGATGTATAATAGCGTATATGTATAGCCTATCGCGCTACTTCGGGCCGCATCGCCGTTCGCCTCGCCTTCGTTTCAGTATCGAGAAGCGAACGAGCGAGCGAGCGAGCGAGCGAGCCTCAGTCGCTTCACCCTTAACCTTTGACCCGCTGTTCCGCTCGTAACGTAGCACGCGTACTTGGTGCTACACGCTCCAGTGCGAACAGGCAGCGTGCGTGTATCTCTCTCTCCTTCTCTCTCTCTCTCTCTCTCTGTACGTGTTTCGATGCCGCTTTAACGGAATGGAATAAATCTCATAAAAAGCACCGTTCGCCGTTGGAATTTTGCAAAAATTACGTGTGAGGTGTCACAAAAGCGACGCGATGTGACTCGTCGGCGCATGGAGAGAGGCCAGGGGGATCAGCCGCTCGGGCGAAACGGTAAAAAATTCACCGGCTCGCCAAAAAATCGAGAGAGTCAAAAAGCCAAGCTGTCAAAGCTGCACTTTGAGTGGTCTAACGCGTTCGTTTACCTGAAATATTGCGGTATTCCGCGAACGTCGGGTATCGGGACGATGAGTTCTACAGAGCGTCCCACATGAAACCGAACTAGCCTTTTCCCGGACCGTTAAACATAGAAGTGGTTACTTCCCGCTCTTTAGGGCTCGCTGTTTCTTCGGACGAGTTTTTCTTCTCTTTTTTTTTTATATCGACTCGGCCACGGACGAGCGAGAGAACCGCTTTGCTTCTTTTTTTCCAAAAGCAAACAGTACACGCAAATATTTGCGCGTAAAAAACTGTAGTGGCTTTCAATTTTTCGTAGAAATCTTCCGATTTTTCCCCTTTCCCCCTTCTTTTTTCCTCTCGCTTCCTTTTTCGCTCACTCTTCTCGCAGTGTGGGAAGAAACGCGTATCGGACACGCGGCGGTTATAACTGTGCTTCACTGAGAGAAAAGAATGGTTGATCCGAAATTACAGTTATTTTTCGCCTCAACCATATTTTTCGTAGTAAAGTGGTAAAATAGTAACACAGTGATACGCATACAAGGTTATTATCACTAATGTTATAGTAAAATTTAATAAAAACATTACGGTTACAAATACCAAACATTTCTTTCTCAGTATAGTATAATTTTCAAGCTGCACGCAGAGAGAGAAAGAAAAAGAGAGAAAGCAGTATTTATTAAGCGCTCTGGGATGTAAATTCCCTCAAGCGCAACATGACGGATAATGGTACACGTTAACTGTGTTTGTTAACACTGTGTTTTTCAAAACTACGATAGAACTAATGATACGAATTACTAATATAAAATGATAAAATGAGAAGAAATAGTAAATGCCTCAGCAATATCAGTCTACAGCGCAGGTAGGATGGACTCCGACCTTATTTAATCTTGTCAGAATTATTTCGTATGTCACGTTAAATGTCACTTTGATTCGACTTGTAATAAGTAAATATATAATAAGTCTTTGAAGGAGCCAGTCGATTTTGCCGCACGTATATTTAAAAGAAGACCATTCCAAAGAAAAAGAAAGAGAGATAACGGTCGGAATTTTCAGGAATTAGCTTCTCATATATACCGCTCTTCTCACCATGGGTGAGCGAGGGAGAAAGAGAATCGGATCGAACGGCAGATCGAAAGAGCCGGACATTAGGTTTTTCGCGCGGTCGTGCCAAACGACAGGTCG